GAGGCTCCTTGTATGTTGGGTATTTGGGGTTCAAATAGCGATCTGGGTTGAACTCTTCGGGATTTGGGTAGAGAGCCTCATCACTGCGGCGGGCCCATTCGGTAGCATGAACGAGTGTGCCCTTCTCAATCAGATATCCGTCGTAAACATCATCTCTCTCGGCTTCGTGAGGTACGCCGGTGGGGACGGGTGGCCTCCAGCGGATCAGCTCCTTTCCAACAGCCCTGAGAATAGGAAGCTTCGGTGCATCAGCCCATGTGGGAAGACGGTTGGGACCGCAGACTTCGTCAATCTCTTCTTGAAGCTTCTTTTGCCACTGAGGGTAATGACACATTGCTAGGAAGAAAGTCTGAATAGGAGAAGACATGGGTAGTGATGCCGTGATAGCAAGCATGCCAACAGCAAAAGCGCCCTCCTTGTCGTCTTGAACTCCGCTCGGGAACTTGAGGCGCTTTTGCTCTTGAAGAAATGTGCGCGACCATGAGTAACCGTCGATACCAGCTTCCATCTTGGCTTTGACTGCTTGCATTGCACCCACCCAAAACTCTCTCTGGGCATCGTGGCGCTTCTTTTCCCTCCAGTACCAGGGGTTAAGAACGTTCGGTAACAGCATGATGATTGGCAATTTGTTTGGCAGTTGTCCGGCAGGTGATATAGCAGATAGGAGACCAGAGGAGCTTTTGTTCAGGGCAGTGCTGAGGCTAGCGTCCTCCCATGCTAGGCGAGCACTCACGCGATGTGTGAACTCCTCAGCAAGTCTGGGATAGTTTCGGTTATCCCTCTTCAGCTGGTACATCATCCTCTTGATCTCAAGATGGGTAAAACCGTACATGTCGTAGTTGTAGGTCTTTGCGAAACACTCGTGGGCGAATTTTCGATGCCTTGTAAGCGCCTCTATAGGTTACTCAGTTAGCAATACTCTAAGCAGACATCTCATGATTCTTACCATTGTTATCTAGTAGGGGAAGATACTCCGCATCAGTCTTAGCGCCAGGAATATTTGGTGTAGGGGCACGGTTCGAGTAGTAAGCACCACGTTTGGCGAGGAGGTCCTGAGCCATCTTTTCGCTATTGATTCGGATGTGCTTAGTGCCAAACAGCGTCAACTGGTAGATCGGACCATATTCATCATGCTTCCAAGCCATTAGTCGAGAAGCAAGAATATCCGGTTGTCTACTCACCCAGTCTGCAAACTTCTTATAAACATTAGTAGAGGGCAATTGGAAGATAGGCCCGACCCATGGTATTAAACCTTCGTTATCATGTTAGCAGTGGTAATAGATTTTCCCCGCCAGAAACTTACCTTTCGGGCCGGGAATCGTTTTGTATTGGGCTTTCTTTGGGTCATTCCTGACAAGGCGGATGATCGCCCAAAGAACGGCACTGATTGCACTAAAGGCAATCGCAGGGGCGAAGACAGAAAGCAGAGACTGCGATCCGGTCTGAATCAGTCCCTCAATCATGATGAATTTGTTTGAGAAAGAGAAAGTGAATTGATGTTGGAAGTGAGTACATTCTATGGCCCTCTCTGCTACCTTTTTATCTTCTTACTCACTCTCAGCTTCCTTCTCAGTCCGACTCCCGTATCCACACATTTGCATGCTACTTTTGGCGCAGCCTTCTCCCTCCAACACTGAAATTGCGTAAATATCACGGTACAATCCACATCAAGCTTAACGTGGATGTATCATCGCGAGGTCCGAGGACTCGCGCCAGCCATAGAGGTCGGTGTTGCGACCACCGGCCAGCCGACAATCATGGAGCGGGTGTGGAGAGCCGAATGCTATCATGAACAGAACATTGTAGACCATGTCATTTTTTTCTAGTATCTGGATCAGTAAGACTGAGCCAAGATTAAAGTGAGCTCTGTTCATCGATCGATACAAGGCATCATGCTATCACGTGATGCACAGCGCTAAATGTCTTGGCGAACATCGATGTTCCTACCGCAAAGCTTGCTCTATTGGTGATATGGTATCTTATTCTCGCTGAATCTAGTTGCCTGGTTGGTCAGTTCTTCGCTGATAGCCATCAGCCTCCATCCAGTGGCATTGCGGATGTCCGCTAAACATTCGGCAAGCCACCGAAGTAAGCACCAAGGAACCTATGGCGCCATGTCGGCGGACATCCGCCATATCACTTATTCACAATCCCTGGTGTCAGCCTAAATCGCAGCTGTTTCGTGTATCTAAGCCTTGTTAGCGCGTGGGATTTCTCCTAACGATCAAAGCTGAGCCAATCGGGTCAACGTAACGATGCTGTGGCACTGGAGTGATACCTTTCTTAGTTACGGGAGCCGTTGCATGCATGGAACTCGGCAAGGAAGAGAATTTATTGATCTATGGCAAGAGTCAAGGAACTCAGCTGTGGCCCCAAGTCCTCAGTAAAAGCCGGCTGGAGCTGTGAATACCGCTGCTCATCAGGACAACATGCTGGGTTTGCAGTGATGAGGCGTTGTGGCTATGAGTCTAGCTCTATGCTCCTTCCATCTTTCTAACGATCGAATACGATATTGGCCCCAAAGACGGTTTAGATAGAATTTGCCAGGTCTGTATAAAATGGTACTACCAGAACCCATTCCAATGGTTACCACGTTGCTTTTGTGTTTATCCCTTATCCCTGCCGCGCACGCATTGCATCTTTAGCGCTTCATCATTATCACTCTGTTACCATGAAACCCTTGGCATCCCTCGCTTTTGTCACGTTTACCCTTGCACAGCATGCACTTGCGGTCACCTCACAGCAGATCCACACAGACTTGGCCAAGACTCTATCATCAGGATCTGAGGTGGTATTAACCACTGACCCTTCCTATGCAACCAGCTTTACACAACGATGGACCGTGTACTCCAAAGCTGAGCCGGCCTACGAAGTTGCTGTGAAGCCTGCCACCGCTACAGACGTCCAAAAGATTATTCAATATGCAACTAAGAACAATGTTCCGTTCTTGGCAACGGGCGGTGGTCATGGTTACAGCACTTCTTTGTCCGGCGTCAAGGGCGCACTCAACATTGATTTGAGTAAATTCAAAAAAGTGGCTGTCGACGCTTCGGCCAATACTATGACTGTTGGGGCTGCTACAATTTTCGCTGATATGCTCGATCCGTTATATGCTGCTGGCAAGCAAATGCGTAAGTTCCAACGGGTTTCATTACGAAACAGGACTAACATGAAATGCAGCGTCTGGTGGGTCTTCAACACCTAGCATTATAGGCGTTACCCTAGGTGGGGGTATCGGACCTCTAACAGGTGCATACGGTCTACTGATCGACTCACTGCTCTCCGTCGAGATGGTAACTGGCTCCGGTCAGATCCTAACGGTATCGGCTACTAAAAACTCCGATCTTTTCTGGGGCATGAGGGGAGCTGGAGTTAACTTCGGCATTGTCACTTCAGCGACATACCGGATCTATGATACAATCAACAATGGCATGGTATACAACGCCGACATGAGTTTCAACGGAGAGAAGAACGAGTCCATTTTCAAAATTTTGCGTACATACCAAGGAACGCAAGACAATAAGCTTGCACTTTCCGTCTCCTCTTCGGTCAAGAACAAAGTTGTAAGTCTTACCACCTCCACTGCAACGTACTATCTGACCTGGCTAACATCTGCAGCCCGAGATCAGTCTCAGCGCCATTTACTTTGGCACTAAAGAACAAGGTGATGCAGCTATCAAAGTTTTCCTTGATCAACAGCCGATATTCAGCAACATCTCTGTTGTACCCTATAACAAGCTGGTTTACGTTGCAAATTTTGGTGGTGACGCGTTCGCTCGCATAAAGGGTGTTAGAGCTGACATGTGGGGTTACCAACTGAACGATGTTACGGTATCCACACTCAGTAGCACATACACAAAGTTCGTCAACTTTGTTCTCGACAACCCTGCACTCGAAAGCTCTGCCTCTTGGCTAATAGAGAAGTTTGGTTTGGGAGTCACCGCAACCATTCCCGACGACTCTACTGCGTATCCATGGCGCAAAGCTGTCGCATATGGCTTTTTCGCATTTTACCTACCTGAGAATGTGTCTGAACAGCTGACGAACACTGCTGACCAGTTCGCTGAGAAGATCCGCAGTGATCTGGCTTCGGGCTGTGGAAATCCTCAGGGCAACGTGTTCCCTAACTATGCACGGGGTACCGAGACGCCAGAGCAGGTTTATGGCAAGTCAAAGTTGCCAAAGCTACGGTCGCTAAAGAAGAAGTACGACCCGAAGGGATTATTTAACAAGTATAATTCTTTTGCTTGAGTTGGACTTGGACACTCTACTGCATACAAATCGGGGCGGCCTTTTTTTTCTTATTTCTTGTCTTTGTCTCCACGCATAGTATAGATCCGAACTGCCTCTACACAAGAGCACAAATCTGAAATATTATGTCATTACTTTCGAACTTTGCTCTACATCCGTTTTTCCACACTCGTAAGTTTACTTTTAGTGATTCGGGAAACTTAACGCAACTAATGAAAATAGTGAAGAAGTTTGTTGGTACCTAGAGTGAATACTCAAAAGTTGAATTTTCACATATTTAATCCCCAAAGAAAATTCTGCACGTCAAATTCCGGATGAAATCTAATACTCAGAGATTTGTACTAATAAGGAAGTGTAAAGAACATATCCAAATACGAGAGGATGTATGTTCATAACATCCATCCTAAGGTCTCATTTCCCAGTCGGCTATTTAGTTTGTTTATTGATGAACATTAAGCAGAAGCTTCTTTGGGTGAGCTTTTGCTTTCATGGATATATGATAAAGGAACAAAACTCGATTCTTTTACGTTATTAGTGCAAATAGACACTCAATACTCAATCTCATAACAACAGCGCCCCATCTAACACTGTAAACCCCAGAAAATTAACAGCACTCATCTACACCCTTCGTACCTCTCCACACACTCTTGATCTCCCACAACTTTCTCAGTTCCCTGCCAGCACCACCACTCAGCTCCAGTTCCCCGATATTGTATTGTTGGCTTCCAGCACACATCTGCGGCGCACATCTATGCCAAAACAGCCACAGCATTAACCAGCACAACCCCAGAGTACAGCACAATCCTGAAGCGGTTGAGCCATCCCCAGTACGCAATCTTATCATGGTACTAATCACACACAAACTCTGGTTAGCTATCAATCAGATAGAAATAAGAGAGAAATAACTCACAATAGCAGTCTGCATCCCCGCATCCTTCTCCGGCAAATCCGCATAATGAAACTCCTCCTGCTCTCTAAACTTCTCAATCAACGCATCATTAATCGGATTCATATAATGCAGCGTAAACGGGAAGATCAAAAACGCCATGACGCTGCTGGCCACGTATAGCATGGTCGTTTTATTGGCGAAGCCGGAAGAGGAGGAACCATAGGCAAGGATTAAAGAGAGAACGAGGTTGGAGGCGCTGAGCGTGGTGGCGGGGACTTGGGCGCGGCGGAATTGCGTATGCCATTGGCGGATGGCGAGGATGGGTGAGGGCGAGATAAGGACGGAGGGGATAGAGATGCTGCTTAGGGCGGTGTTCATGCCTAGCAGGAAGGTGGCTTGCACCAGAGTACCGACTTGGAGGGTGGTGAAGGAGAGCATGGTTAAAGTGGAATGGGATGGTGGTAGTTGGAGAGAGAAGAAGTAGGGGACTGAAGAGATGGATGAGCAAGGTACTTGTTGTGGCTATTGTGATAGAGGCAGTAGTTCAAGCGTTTATATCTAGATGTTGGGTTTTGTGATTTTCACTACGGATAGTCCACAGTATCTTCCCCTCATGTCCGATGTTGCATCTCCATCTCCAAGTCCCACACCACTACACACGAGTCGTAGAGGTAATACGGCTCTCCATACGCATCCCGTACTATCTTGCTTCGGAGATCGAAGGAAACCCAACCTCTTGCATTGGTGGTCGGCGGTTGGTAGTCGGTGTTCAGGATTATCATCAGACTAATGTTGAAGTTCGTCCTCAGCCCCGTCTTGGCAGGGACATTGATACAACGGAGTGCCTGGCATCACGTGACGTTTTACGCTACGGAGTTCCGTACAACGCCAACACAAATGCAGGACAATGACAGTGGGCCAGCATCAATGCAGCTGACAAACAAAAACAGCGAAGACGCAGCACCGGGGCCCCGAGGATACGAATTTGTAATGGTGGGTAACACAAGAGATAGTACGATCCACGGCGATTTCGATTTGGATCGTGACGTTAACTGTGTGACTGTGCCGCAATGCAATCAGTCGTATTTCAGCCCCCAGCCGCACCTTCTTCCTTCGTGCGCAGTTACTTTCACGCTTGAGCTGAAAAAAACTCCCTCAGGATCCTGTCAGCCATCAGCATATCCCATTTACATCAAAGCCCTTTAACCAAACCCCCACGCGCCATAACGCATCTACTACCCACACATACATACATCAAAACACGCATACACATTCCATACTCCACCAAACTTCGCTAAGCCATCCACAATGGCGAGCTTCCCCACTTTTCTCAAGTCCCAGCTCTTCTACAAGCCCAGACTACCGGAACCAGAAACATTCGCTGGCAAGACGGTCATCGTTACAGGCGCAAACACGGGTCTTGGTCTAGAAGCAACACGGCACTTTGTCCGCTGCGGCGCCGCAACCGTCATCATCGCCTGCCGCACGCTCTCCAAAGGCGAAGCTGCCAAGCGCTCCATTGAAGAAAGCGAGAAGCGTAACGGCGTACTCCAAGTCTGGGAGCTCGACCTCTCTTCCTACGCCAGCGTCAAAGCCTTCGCAAAGCGCTGCGAGACACTCCCGCGGCTAGATGTCTGCGTCGAGAACGCCGGCATAGCAACTGGCAAGTTCTCGCGCGCAGAAGGCCACGAAGCCCACATCACCGTCAACGTGATTTCCACATTCCTGCTCGCACTGCTGCTCCTACCCATCATGCGCAGGTCAGCCCTCTCAACGGGGACAACACCGTATCTCACTATTGTCACATCAGAGGTCCACCACTGGACCCAGCTGCCGCAAAAAAAGGAGCCAAGCATCTTCGGCGCGCTGGATGATGAGTCAAAAGCAGACATGGCAGACCGCTACAACGTCTCCAAGTTACTGGAAATCCTCGCGCTGAGGTACATGACTAGGGTGCTGATTAAGGATCGTGCAAAGTATCCCGTGGTCATCAATTGCGTTACACCGGGTCTGTGCAAGTCAGATCTCGTTAAAGATATGGGCATGGCGCCTGTCGTGTTCAAGACGCTGTTGGGTCGTACGGTCGAGGTTGGCAGTCGCACGTTGGTTAATGCAGCGGCGTTACCGAATAGCGCCGGTGAGTACATTATTGACGATCACGTGTCTGAGCCGTCGTCGCTGGTGGTCAGTGAGGAAGGCGCGGAATTATCGAAGAGGGTCTGGTTCGAGCTGGCGGATATCTTGGAAAAGGCTTGTCCTGGTGTGACCCAGAACATTGCTGCGTAGATTCTTGAGGGCACTGCGTTGGCAGTGTTGTGCGGGTGGATTACAGGCGTACTGGTTTAGAGGCACGTGACTCTTGGGATCATATGGTTATCAGTGAGGCGCAAGGGGAAGGTTACAGCGACAACGCTGGGATGATATGAATCTTTCTCTACACTCTCATGCACTTGCTTTACACACGCTGCTCAATTGCTGTCCCACGCTTAGCCCTGTCTCGCTTGGTACAGGCTTTACTCCAATTGCTCTAGCTCCAGTCGGCATACTAATCTTCGTTTCCCGTCTGCTGAAACCTCTAGGCGTGTAGCACTGTTCCTTTGGCATAGCTAGTCGTCGCGCATAGCAGAAAACAATCATGAAGTCTAACAGAGCCCAGCTTGATGATTAGATTGTTAGACAACCTATATGCACAAGCAGAGCAAGAGTAATACTAAAACACTGTCCTAACTGTCGGGAAGACTCTCATACGGTCATACAGCATCTGATCCTAGCAGTTCAGCCTCACTGCTGCTGCTTGCCTTTTCTCTAAACCCTTTCCTACAGCCTTGCATAATCGCCTTCTTGGCAGCAGATATGCGGTTTGGTAAGTTCAGCCTCGAGCATCATTTCTAGACACAACGTGTTGTATAACTTCTTTTACTTAAACAAATCCCTATCCTTCCCTGATACCTCGCACACATGCAGTACCGACGGATTAACTCTAGATTAGAAGAGCTTCGCCTTGTTTCCATCCTGCATCGGCCCGATCAGGAACAGGCAGAATTCTCAGCCGTACCCCACCGAGAACGTGACGACCTCGTTCATTGTACGCTAGAACACTATTCACTCGCGCAAGATCGTTGGACTAGAGACTCTCTCTCAAAAGACCCAGGCTTTTCGTTGGACTGGACTGCAGTGGACTGTCAAGATGAAAACCAGAGCAACTCTAGCGAACCCGATGATTCCCGACTAGACATATCAGCTCGATGGCGCTTCGATTGGGGTGACTTTGTTGCGCTGTCCTACACATGGGGCGACCCAGCAGATAAGAAAGCGATAGTCATCAACGGAGAAGTCGTGAGAGTGCAAGCAAATCTAGAGGCAGCCCTTCGAGTTTTGCGATCCAAAAAGCCTATGAGATCAGGGTACCGCATATGGGTCGATGCTATTTGTATAAAACAAGAAGATCTCGCGGAAAGGAGCCGTGAAGTCCGGAGAATGCGGATGATATACGGTCTTGCCGCGGATGTTGTCATCTGGCTAGGCCCCGAAGCGGAAGACAGCAACAAAGCTATGGATCTCATTCTTACCCTGTCCAATTCGTGCAAGAATGGTACCGACAAATCGCTTGGAGTTTATCTACGAAGCAATCCAGAGTATCTCGTACGTGGATCTTGGCTTGCTCTTAGCAAGCTGCTTGAACGTCAATACTGGTACCGTATGTGGATCATCCAGGAGCTTTGCTTGGGTGGCAGTAAATCTCCTATTCTCTGTGGAGACAAGGTTATCATTTGGGAAGACTTCTTTTCAGCTTTGTATTCGTTTGGGAAGCATAACGTCGACGTCATCTTTGCATGCATCGATGGCGAAAGAAAAGCCGCCGGCCTGACTCCATTTGGGCTTAATAGGAACAAGATCATTCATATCAATCTCGAGCATCATAAGCAAGCTGGCCGTGAGAAGGCCCAGTACATGCCTCTTCTAGACCTTGCGCGAAAATCAGATGCATTGAACCCGATAGACAAAGTGTACGGAATCCTAGGGTTGATGCATCACGCGGTATCTTCCCTCACAACACTGGACTACAGCCTCTCAGTAGAAGAGGTGTACACAAATTTCGCCCGGCAGTACATAGAAGCAAGTAAGTGGCAAGGGTGTGAAGAAACAGTGAAATCTTTGCTGATTGGCTTATAGCGGGAAGCTTGGAGATTCTCGAGCAGTGTCGCTTGAAAGAATCACCAATGCCTTCTTGGGCCCCAGATTGGCGGAATAAAAACCACTACCGTCTTTTTAGTGGACATCACTCCACCTATAGCGCAGGCAGCGCATCGACCGCTTCATATCACTTTCGTAGTGAAGCCTGCATACTAGATGTCGATGGCGTCATTCTTGATGCAGTCGATGGTCTAGGCCAAGCTTACTTTGAGTATGGCACTAGCTCCTTACCAGAACACGCTGTCTTCCAACCGAACAATACTGCAAGTGCCTACGGTTGTGAAGACTCAATCAAGGACGCGCTTTGGCGAACTCTAACCGGAGATCGTACTCTCCAGGGCCACCCTGCTCCGGACAACTACGCCGAAATACTCAACTTGCCGTTCAGAGAATCCTGCCAAACCCCGTTGCCATCTCGTGGAGCAAGAGCGTTGAGCCGGTTTATAACGCAAAGCGCTTCTCTTTCCGTTTCTGGAAGAAGGCTCGATAGCTTTTTCAATAATTCGTTAGATCAATTTCCTGAGACGGCAATCGACGCTGTGGAGCGCATATGGCGATTCACAAGAACACATCGTCTTGTGGTAACGCTTAGTGGAAGAATAGGCATGGTACCCATCGAAGCAAAGAAAGGGGATGTACTATGTATACTCCTTAGCTCTGATGTTCCAGTCCTGTTAAGGCCAGCCAAGAACCCAAGAGACCCTGTCAAACTTGTCGGTAGTTGCTATATACACGGCATCATGGCCGGTGAAGCAATGCGGTGGATTGAGGATGGCATTTTGAAAGTGGAAACAATTTCAATCTGTTGATTTAGGTTGTATTTTGTCGTCGAAATAAATTTTTAATACACGATAGAATTAGGGGCGATGAGAAAGAGGCCGGCCAAGTTGGAAATGCTAGTGATGCAGATGGGGCAAATCAACGCACGAAGCTGTAGTGGTAGTAGTCTATCTACTTGTCGCTGATAGTACACATTTTACCTACACTGTACAGCTTGCTTCAGCCCGTATCCTTGAGCAACGCGTCCTCTTTGCAAGCCTTGCTGCCTGACCACGCCCTTCACCGCCTGCGCCAGCTCCTCCACGTCGAAACGGCCCTGCAATTACCTCGCTTTTGTCCGGCATCCAGTGCTATATCTTGCGAAAGGCGCTATCGAAGGGCGACACGTACACTGTGATGTAGTTTACCATGCTCATCCTTAGCCGGCCGAGCATGGCGCCTATACGTCAAGTAGAAGAAGTCATAGGTACACATGTCGAGTCATGGATGTGGCGTAGTGTCTTGATATTTCGGCGGTCGCCTCTAGCGGGCATTGCAACGCAGTGTTACATCTCTCTTTCCCAGCGTGTGCGGCTGAGGTGGCGTGCGTCCGCGGTCTTGCAGCTGCAAGCATGGATGTTTGGTGGAGGAGGGAGGACGGAACAGACCGACTCCCTATTGTTCCACAACATAGACTTAGCTAAGAGAACTGCACTTTATGCCACAAGTTACTGTAGTACCAGCAACTAAAAAAAAGCCTGTAGGTTTCTGTTGATTGGGAGTCACGGAGTGTAGCATTGTGCTGACCGAAGCTAGAACGATTGAGGTAAAGCCTACCGGTGGACGTGGAATGACAGTTCAGCGGTGCGCAAAAAGCGGCAACTGCAAGTGCAGGTGAGTGTATCTCATTCTTCTATTTGCTTTGTACCACAAGCCTTCTGCTAAAATGCTTCATTGCTGAAGGGCGTTCTTGTTCACATGAGCAATAATGAAAACATACCTCGCTAGTACTTCAATTCAATTCATGACACATCAATTACAAATAATGCTGTTGGCCAATCCATTATACGCTAATGCAATGATAGTGCCAGGTCGTGATTCCTATGAGCTCCATCTATGCAGGAAATACCGGGCCTTCTCAAGCACACTGCTGACAAGATGTGTGGGGTGATTCTCCAGCTTGCTTATGCAATACAGCAAGCTGTTACCGCCCTCGAAGATTGATAATCGTCTATTGTCGGGCAACGTGACGACCGGGGTGACCGCAGGGGTATTGAGAAAGCGTTCCTCATCGCTGGGTAGAAGTGCATCAATACCCACTTCCCGAGACTGGATCCCTGAACTCATTCGCTCTATCGTTCTAAGCGACCAGCAGGCCATCGATGCGCGGTAGATCGCTACTGGCCACCATATGGGTCGGGCGTCGACCGGTAGGTTGTCGATAAGCCGGAAGATCTGGCCAGCATGGAATAAGATATAGTTTCCCCCTTCGGGATAGCGTACTCGGCTCCACATCTCAGCGCATGCCGATAGTGATGACGGAGGCTCCTCCTTGGCACATTTCTCTATGTCAGGGATGCTTGTGCACACATTTAAGCTAACCAGATGTAGCATGATTATGCCCGTCCAATCCACTGGTACGCTATCCATGGTAGCTTGCGAATTTTGATTGAGGAGTGCAGCCAAATCTTGAACCAAATCCTGTGTCTCCTGTAGGCGGCCCAATACCTTGGTCTTGGAAAGGACGCGATGTCTGTTAGTTGATTCATCGTTATCAAAGATGCGAAGAAGCTGTTGTTGTTCCAAGACCATGGCTTGTAGGGGGTGGAGAAGGAGACGCAGGTGATGTGGAGGTACATCATCACTACCTGTTAGTCGGCCTTGGAGAAAACTCCGGAAGAGACCGTTCAGTGACGGTAGCTCGTGACCCATTTGGATCTCCTTTGCACCAGGCCGTCCAATCCAGTCGTTGTACGTTTGTGCGTTCCAGAGGTCGCCGTTATTAGGTAGAGGCACTTGCAAATCACAGTTTGAAAGTACCGGCGGAACATCATGGAGCAAGCTTATCTCAAGGTCTACGTAAACCCATGCATGTACATGGCTACAAAGGTCAGATCATACCACTTGATCAGGTAAAAAGGGATTCTTACCGATTTTTTGTCTCAATCTCTTTCCATCTCTCCCATAGGCTCTCACCATCTAAGCCATGGTTGTGGAGTCCTTGTTCGGGATTTAGAATTCCACTGCTTTTCAACAGCTAGCCAATATGTTAGCATCCTATTCATGTTTTCTCCAAGATGGCAACAACTTACACTTAGGTACTGGCCTCGTTTTGACATGGCATACTGATTTGTGTTAGTTTTACACAAAGGAAAATCATATATGATACATACCGAGATAAAAGAACTCTTCCCGCTTCGCACACAGAGTGTAAGTAATTGTAATGCAACCCCTCCAACCATTGGCTGTGATATGCATCGGCGTTCGAGAACATGGTTCAGTGCGACCATGCACACCTCAATCAAGCCATATGCGAATACATGTGACTCATGGTGATCTGTGAGCATAGCGCCATGTGTAATAACGAGAATGATCAACAACATGCCTACGTCGACCGTGTCAATCTTTAAGATGTCTTGAATGTTGGCGGTGGGGGAACCAGGGAGACCAAGGTAGGGTTGAATCGAGTCAATGCGTGCTGCGTAGATCTCGATAAAGTGCATTAGCACGTGCGACGGAGGCAGCGATACAATGCGGCCAAATAGGCCTTCGGTGGACGACGATGGCGAACTGCCAATTTGCAGCGCACGTTGGAACAGTAGCTGCACAGTGGCCACTATTCGATCCCGGGCGTCATGTGATAAGGCCATAGTACCATCGCTCTTGTTACTGGGTAGCCCATCCCAGGCATTTGGACGGGCCAGGACATTGACGAGTTCACCAAGTACATCATCTGTTGCGTCTGAGCTGCCTATTGGGATGTCCTGGTTCGTCTTCTTTGGACTGGAAGTATATTGACTATTTGTCAGGCCTAATGACATACTCGACTTGATTTGAGGACTTGTAAAAGGTGGAGTCGGGGGGTGGATGGGGCCGTGGAAGAGCCCCTGTTGCTGCTTGTACACCCCATCGTTCCCAGACCCACGCGGAGAGAGATGAGGTTCGTTTGTTTGCATCTCCGAACGTGGCACAGATGGGAAGAGGTGAGTAGATGCGGCCCCATTAATAGGCTCGCCACCCAGGGATACGGGATATGAAAATCCCATGAAGTCTTCGTACCCAGTAAAATCCAGTTGTCCCTGGGGCAAAGTCGTATCTACAAGCATGTATAGTTCGCTGTTGTTTGTTTGGCCATCAGGCATGATGTAGGCAGGAAATTGATCCATTGTTGCATTTTGATTGCCATCTTGGCCAACAGTATTTGTCGGCGTTGTCAAGGGCTTACTACGCGTAGATGGCGTCCGAGAAGCTCTCGGCCGGCGCGAGGAGCACCTGGGTTGACATACATAGTTTCTTGCGACACACTGAGAGCACGGCACCTGGTTGCTGCGTTAGAGGCCGTTGCGATGGTCCAGTATTCCGAGTTCTCGGTGCTTGAGTAGCAAGTCCCCTGACTAACCTTGCGGTCACATCGTGCTTTTGAAATGGCACACCTGGTGCAAGCGATGAGAGAGGCAGTATCCATGTTGAAGCGATATCGAGGTTACCAAGCAGCAGGTAACGTACCGGGATATAAAGATGAAGATGGCGGGACAATGGTCCCCACTGCCTGCAAGGAAAACAAGGAACGATGCACAAAGACGGGACAGACACCGGTGAGTGCAGGAGGATACGAGTATGTAGGATTGCAGGCCTAGGCGACCCATGCGAAATATGTCCTTTACTGGCGGTCCCATCCACTTCCTAAACGTGTTCCTGGACGGCGTGCTGGAACCTGTCTCCGATGTTGCAAGCAGGGGTCGTCAGCTTTGAGGCGCCAGACCCACGGGTTTGTAGCTAGTGGATTTCCCAAAGCATGTTAGATTATGTAAGCATGCCTACCCAGCACGCATCAGGTTGCAGCTTGTAATTATGGCTGTCGAATCAGAGATGCATGTCAAGAAGACCTGCCATAAATGGAATTGCTCACTTAATCGTATAGCACCTGTCTTTTAAGTTTACGACTAGTGTAATGATTCCAAGAATTTTTGAACAATGGTCATCATTGGTCTGAAGCTTATCTTCTAAGGCAGACTAGGATCATTCAACCCATGTGTGCGTGGGCAGAATACGAGCTGCAGCATGGTGAACTTGCGATGCAACTCAGACGCTACGCTGATGGGTTGGTTAGCTGAGGCAACGGTTCGGCTCCACGGCGCCACACAACATGGAAAATGTGCAACATGGTACATGACAGCTTTTTTAGAGCCGAGTAGTTATATGTCGCGACACTAGCTCCGCCCGGACTTTCAGGCTAAGCAGGGTAGGATCACACAGACGTGTATGTGTGAGTATGTGGATGGCCTTTGCCTACCGCTGTCAGTACAGGAGCTCCGCGGATATTTTAGTACGTGTTTGCTTGGTTTGGCTGGATTGTCTGTCATTGACTAGGTCAAGTATCTGTTTTTAAAATAGCTAGAAGCCGCATCTATTCAAAAAAAACCCCTACCCATCGTTTGTAAGGTGTAAACTATGTAAAGTTGAATGATTTTCTTAGTGTACATTACAGATGGCGGACACTGCTAACACAAGCTCTGATTACAACTTTGTGTAACCACGCTCTTTTCGCGTTTCTCGCATTTCTCGCGTTTCATATCGATTCTGGCGAGATAATAGCAGTATAAGGGGATGTCTTCAATTATCGCTAATCAGTTTTTTGGCAACGTATATAATTTCTATGATATCCAAGTCACTGCTCTTCTAAGAGGAATTCCTTGTACAAAATGGAGGTCTGGAGTCGCAAGCCCTGCCCAATTAGTATAGAACTCAGTTAGCGTTGGGTTGAATTACCTTATCTCTCCTATCCCCGGAGTGGTCATTTTGTTGAATTTTATATCCTCTAATGTGGCATACTATTGTTGAAATCCGTCTCATGGCATAAATGTAGCAGGCGTATCTTTCCTGGGCGATATCGCTTTATTATGTGACCAAGTAGTAACTTGAGGCACCCTCTCTTTTCAAGTATTTTTGATCCGGACAGGTCCATGTATTGAGCTAAACTCTTCACGATCTTCCGAATGTTACCCAAAACGGTATTATAAAAACGGAAAGTGGGAAACATAGTAATAGGCCACGGCCCCAAAGCCCCACGCTAACATCTTAGTGCCGCATTCCTACCTGCACGCCCCGAAGGCCGCCCATCGTGCGGCGGGTGCTTGCTTACTAGGCGATAAGCACTGTCTCAGCGCGCCATGTACACATGTCTGATGAATAATTTTCCTATCGGTCGATCGCAGTGCGATGTCTTGCTGTGCATTTAGTAATTAGGTAAAACACTAAAACTGCTTGCATGCACGAGTGAGTGAGCGAGAGAGAGTCTGACATGCAAGTCACGCAGGTGTGCAGATTCGTCATTATCACCATACTAATCGGCCCCCGAAATCCGACCGTTCACGTGACTACCATATACAGTACTACTTTTACTATGTATGTCCCAATGACGAACGTCGAGACATGCCGCCCATCCCCGCATACTAATCTCTTTTCAAGGGTAACCCGCCAGGTAGGCGCCGCGCCGGCAAAGCTTGATCAAACTCAATGCAAGTATTCATGTTAACGCCCTCAATCGGTAGTGATAATACAAACCATGACTGCATAACTCTCCTTGCCCCATGCCACCCAAGACAGACGCATGGTTGCCTGTCCCGGTTGCCAGGGCCCCCCACACCAACTCAGGCGTACTTTTCTTTGCACACTCATCAAACTAGCGACGAATAAGGAAATGCACTTGTAAAGAAAATGCTGATATACGCATGCAGGGCTTAAGAGTGCCGGTACATGGGGGCGTGGGCCGGTTAGCCGTGTCTGCAGGCGCGGAAACACGGTTCGTTATCTCTATACCCGTTTAGAAGATGTTCTTAGTTCTGCACTGCAACCGACAGCATTAGCAAATAGGTGTGATACACAAGAAGAACGAAGACAAGACGAAAAAGATGAGCAAGTATTGCCGAACCTGCCGGCGGGTTTCCAGGGGCCCAATGGCGCAATTGCCGAGGCGTATTACCTGCATGAAATGACCAACAAAGTCATTCTCCTCCGCTTTCTGATCAGCCCCATCCCACAGCTTTGTTCGAAACAAAAATGGGTTACACGGAAGGAATGCGGCTCATGCAGTCTACTGTGCCCTTCTCGGTCCGACAGTTCTTCCGCAGCAACGCATCGGCGATCCACTCGGAAAATTCAGTGATTAAGGATTTGTAGGTGGCTGCTGACGCCGAATGGGGCAATGGTGCTTGCATTGGAAACTTCAATCGTCGATATCCTGCAGTTTTCTCGCTTGGGCCTGCTCACTTTGTCCCCCAAACCTCGCAGACTCCACTCATCAGCATATGATATGTACGCATCGGCTCAGGGTAAAAATGCGGATGGTGCATTGCCGCATGCATGTAAGTATATACTTACATTTCTGTATACACATGTCAAGGCTCCATATGCCGGACGGACAAGGTCTTGAGGACCCTTCTTTATCACTCACTGTCCTGGTATCTGGGTGCGTAGCCGAGCTTCAGTCAAGTAAGATCCGGTAGCATCGCACCCGGCCCGAAATTGAGCACGATGACTAGTGCGGTACTCTTTCCGACGTATACTCAGCCTATTTTCTGCAAATGTTAGGGTCGTGATCATGGAGGTCGACCCACTCTTTGTCAGATACATGTCCTCCCGTTCCCGCAGGCGATTACTTCGTAGGAGGCCTAGAATCCTTGTGGATGAATGAGATCGGGCCAGACTAGGTCGCCGGATACAAACAAACGATTGCGAGATGTACTTCTGGGGCGCAAATCTAGGCTGCTCTCGGAAAGATAAATCCACACTACCATCGCGTGTGGCATATTCAGCGCATGCCAAGATGGGCGGTACGTCCCGGTTGCCGTTGTAGCGAGTTTCATGCATAAATAGATATTCATTTCGCTTGCGTACTAGGAAAAACACAAGTCCATTATGCAATGCTGAACCTGTGGACTTCCGATACTGGTTGGTATGCCTTGTCCGGACAAGGTTCTGAACGGCGACTACAAGTTCAGCGGGCTGCAGGAACAACAAAGCCACTGACAAAGCCACTCAGAACGACAGCACACTCGAATCGATCCCCCAGATCATCTGCCATCTCCAAGCTCGGGAGTGCGGAGGGTGTTCGGACAGGGCTATGCAGACTCTTGGTGCGGTTAAACTGCCGACAACAAATAACGGTAGATCAAGGTGCAGTTCAATATGGATTCGAATACTAGGTGGCCACGTAGGATAGTAGACTTGTCAGGGCATCGACAAGCCCTCGGCCCTGTAGGCAGGGAAGTCGGAACGAATTAACACACAGGGAGAGATCCATATTCCTGTGAGAGTTTGAGTCAACGTGCTGATAGTGACGATATGCGAGGACGATGGTTTGGCTGGCAGAAAGAGGTTTGTACATATACTTGTGCCAAGCCAACTCCTACGTCATTCCTCTTTCCATTCTCACGTGTCAAAACCCGGAGTTTTCGAGTGCAGCAATGTCTGTTTTGAAAAGGTCATTATCTTCTTGAAGCTTCGTCATGTAGCTCAACGCCTCCCATCTAGATCCGTTTTGTTCGTTCTGCTAAAGTACACGGTGAACGTCAAATGAGAAGTGGAGAGCAGAGATACATCCGACACGGTGATTAATATACAAATGGCCCTCTCCAGGCTCGACGATGGGGTATGCTCGCATCATGCTCCGCCATTCTGGCGGACCAACCTACTCCAGAACACGGGTCACCAAACCAGTAGCGACTGTCCGGCCACCCTCACGCATGTTGAAACGCTGGCCAGTCTCCAAGACATGTGGCGCGTGGAGCTCGCAAACCATCTCGACGTTGTCACCAGGCATGACAAGCTTCTCGTGGGCATCCTCGGTACCTTCGGGCCAGAACAGCGCACATGACTCATCAGCAGTGCGGATGAACATTTGTGGCCTGTAGTTCTCGCCGAAACCAGTGTGACGACCACCCTCCTCTTTGCTCAAGACGTACATGGAGACAAGGAACTTCTTATGAGCTTTGACCTGTCCGGGGACGGAAACGACCATACCACGACGAACTTCATCACGCTTGACACCACGTAGAAGAAGACCTGAGTTGTCACCAGCGCGAGATTCTTCGCAAGACTTCTTGAAGGTCTCGATGTCGGTAACCTTGGTCTTGATGGGCGCGGTACCCTTGCCGACAAGCTCAACTTCAGCATCGCGCTTCAGAATACCTCGCTCAACACGGCCAGAGACGACGGTACCACGGCCAGCGATGGAGAAGACATCCTCGACGGCCATGAGGAAAGGCTTGTCAGTCTCACGCTGAGGGGTAGGAATCCATGAGTCGACGGCCTCGAGCAGCTCGTCAATCTTGGTGACACCAATTTCCGGCTGGCGGTTCTCGATGGCACAAAGGGCAGAGCCCATAACAATGGGGGTCTCGTCACCCTCAAATCCATAGCTGCTGAGAAGTTCGCGCATCTCCATCTCGACAAGCTCCAGCATCTCCTTGTCCTCAACAGCGTCGACCTTGTTGACGAAGACAACAATCTTCTGGACACCGACCTGGCGGGCGAGCAGCAAGTGCTCACGGGTCTGGGGCATCTGACCGTCGGAAGCGGCAACAACAATAATGGCACCATCCATGTTGGCGGCTCCCGTAATCATGTTCTTGATGTAATCAGCGTGACCGGGGCAGTCGACATGGGCGTAGTGGCGGTTTTCGGTCTGGTACTCAATGTGGGCGGTCGAGATGGTGATACCACGCTTGCGCTCTTCGGGGGCCTTGTCAATGGAGCCATAGTCGAGGTATTTGGCAAAGCCCTTTTCTGCTTGTCGCTTGGTGATGGCGGCTGTAAGAGTGGTCTGCAGCGTGTCAGTCTGGTGACGTCTAGGACATTTGGTGGGATGTGCTATACCTTTCCGTGATCGACGTGGCCAATGGTACCTGGGAACAGTCAGAAAAGTCACATTTGGCCTGAATGACAAGACGCATACCAATGTTAACGTGGGGCTTGTCTCGTGTGAAGGCGGCGTAGTTGCGGACACCGTTCATCCACCTGCTGGTGCCCTGCGCACCCAAGGCATTCTGCACGGGCGAGATGCCACGCTGGTACTGCACGGCAGCACGCGAAGTGCGCAGGAAAACCTTTGAAAAGCTTGACATGATTGACCCGATCACAGGATGCGGAAGAAGCGAAGGCAAGGCAATTGGCCAAGATGGCGATGTTGGATGAGGGCGGCGAGACTCAAATCATTTTCTTAGCGCGAGAAGATGCTTACGCTAGCCATCGTCCAATCAGGTGAGGGGGAGATCCGAGCTTGCCCACGCTGCATCGGCGGGGCATACCATTGCGGGCAGCAGAGACACAACTAATTATCTTCCTTTTCCTTCAATCAATTGGGGCTTTCTCAACTCGCCGGCAAGGTTGAGAGGGATAAAACTCATCATCTCGGCGTGTAGGCTAGATCCGCCGGTTGCCCAAGGTGGTGCCAGCCTCGACATCTCAATTTGCGGGTACATACTTAGTACTACCCGAGGCTCAACTCGGTCGGCAGCGGCTGTGAAAGTTGCATCGTCATATCCCAAACACTACACATGTCTCTCCGTACACTGACAAGAGCGCCGCTGAGCTGCGTCTCGCGGACCCGTCCTACCTGCACCATGCCATTGCGTGCAAACATCACAAATCCCGCCTGGATGAGCGGGTCAAGACTGGTACAATGGCGGCCCTTCTAACCCAGCACCGCGCGTGCCCATGCATAGCATACTGACGGCGCACAGTATGCCACGCCAACGGCAGACCTCCTGAAGGCGGAAAAGGACGACGACCCCGACGATGTCATTTTCACCAACAACTACGGCGTGCGCAGCATCGAACTCAACCGGCCTAAGAAGCTCAACTCGCTCAATGGCTCCATGGTGCGCAAAATCGTCCCGAGGCTGCAAGAGTGGGAAAAGTCGGAACTGGCGGGCGTCGTTGTCATCAAAGGCAGCGGTCGCGCATTCTGTGCCGGCGGCGATGTCGCGGCATTGGCAGCCTGGAACCGGGAGGGACCAAAGGGACAACAGAGGAGCGCAGACTACTTCGGCCTGGAATACAAGTTGGATCACCTGATTGCTACCTACACCAAGCCCTATGTTGCCTTCATGGATGGCATCACCATGGGTGGGGGCGTCGGACTGTCGATGCACGCGCCTTTCCGCATCGCGACCGAAAACACCCTCTTCGCCATGCCTGAGACCACCATTGGTTTCTTCCCCGACGTCGGTGCCTCCTTCTTCCTGCCACGCCTGGAAGGCGCGCTCGGTACCTACCTAGCACTCACATCGGAGCAGCTCAAGGGCGTGGATACCTTCCACCACGGCGTCGCAACCCACTACATCCACTCCTCCACTCTGCAGCAGCTCGAGGCACGTCTCGCCGAACTCCAGTTCCCCGATTATATGAGGCTCAACGAGCGCTTCAGAATCATCAACGCTACCATTGAGGAGTTCAGCACTGGCCTGCCTGCGGAGCGACCGCATATCTCTGGTGAACTGCGCAGGACAATCGACAGTGTTTTCCATGTTGACCAGCCGGGCATCACAGACATCATGGCATCTCTTGAGAGAGTCAAGAAAACGCATGCAAACTCCGAAATTCAGGCGTGGGCTGACAAGACCATTCAAACCATCAACAGCCGCTCTCCCATCTCTGTTGCTGTAGCTCACAAGCAGATGCAGATTGGCCGTCAATGGTCGATCGCGCAAGCATTCCAGAGAGAGTACTCCATTGCTTCCAAATTCATGGCTCACCCCGATTTCGTCGAAGGTGTGACGGCACGCCTTGTCGAGCGCAAGAAGGAGCGACCTAATTGGAAGCCTAACACCCTTGATGAGGTCAACAAGAGTCAGGTCGATGCGTTCTTTCAATTTGGCAGGGAGCCGCCACTTCCGCTTATTAGTCAAGCAGACTACACGGAATACCCACACGCATGGATCGGGCTACCACGAGAGGATGAGATTCTCAGGGAAGCAGCAGGCAAAAAGACCGAAGACGTTGTCGCCAAGTTGCTAGAAAAGTATGAGGGCAAGCAAGGTGTCAGGGAGAAGATTGCCGAGGTTCTTGACAGATTTCAAAAGTAGAAAGGTATAGCGTTGGGCCGAACCCATTGGTCGGTTGTTCGAGTCCAAATGCCCGTATAAAAAAACCACATATCTGCTGAATTTATTCAGCCTTGACTATTAACCAAACTCCTGGTTTATACCATCTCTTGAACTTTTCATCAACTTCTGCACCATTCTTCCTCAACTCGTCTTTATTCCCTTACCAAAATCACCCGTCTAGAGTTTAGATTGATTCTATCATGGCAAATCCACTTTTCTTCTCAGCTAACAACATCCGGAAGAAGATACTGGGCTTTCCCCTGGAATCCAAAAACAAAGGGCGGTACGCCAGTTTGTTCTTCCCACAAATTTTCAAAAGCACATTGATACCATGAGTCCAACAAGAAGCAATTCCGGATCGCCAATGAAGGTGAGCTGTGCATGTGTTGGACCAATGCCACCTGGACGAGTATTCCGGTGAACATTACGGGTTGCGTGCGCTAGAAAAACACTTTTGCCTTCACAGGATTTTTGAACTCATCCAGTGCTGCCTGAATGCTAAGTGTACTGACAAGGCAGACTTGCTTCTTTTCTCTATGCGTCATCCACGTAGCCCACGAGGCCGCTCTTTAGAAAAGAGGCAACACGAGGTGCTGCCTGCGGCAATAACATGTGGCAGTGAGATTTACCAGGATTGTGGTATGACAAGATCGATGAGAGGCCGTTTTTAAGCGCCAGAACCGATTCTGGTAAGTAAAGGGTGGGGGCTAAACGGCAGTTCTCTCCACCCACACCATAAGTTCACAGCCCCCAAAAATCATGACATCAGCTCTATCCGCCTCGCGCACCTAGCTATGGCTGCCTGCCTAGGATATTAAGCTTGAGTCGGCGTTGAATCACCGCTCTACTGTCAGCTAAAAAGCGCGATTCAGCAAGTCCTCCCAATGCGATTGGTTGTCTAAGCATTGAGCTGCGGCTGAGGCGACGGTAAGGCCATTTGCCCGAATTGGGGCGTGCCGCGGCTTGGCCTAAGTTATCATGGAGGGACTCAATCCATATCCACACTCAGCTTGTGGCTGTGTGGTTCAATGCGTATAAGTAGTCTTTTTCTTGCTTCTTGTTTTGCTGTGTTGTCCCAATCTTTTCACACCGCACCACTGATAGAAAGTGACGAAAACCATTGAGCAAATCTACGACTACACCATATTCCAAGACCCATTGACTATACAGCGACTGGATTAACCAGTCAAAATGTCGGCTTTAGAGCGGCAACCGTTGTTGGATGAGAAGATTAGCGACGATGGGCTTATCTACACAAGAAGAGCTGTGAAAAGAAGCCTAGGAGATACCCTCCGCAAGGCCGTTCTGCTGCCCTTGATCTGCGGGCTTGCTGTGTATGGATCATATACCCTTTTCAGGCAGCATCTCGGCTCAAATGTACCGCTATCATCACCACACCAGCATTCCGGCTCTTTCAACTACACTTGCCTACCTGGACAGTCTTGCTGGCCAACGACAGATGAATGGAGCGCCTTCAACAAAAGTATCAATGGTCATCTTAGACTGACTGTACCCTGGGCCGAACCATGCTATCTTGACTCGTCCAGTGAAGAGTGCAAGGCCATCGCGAAAAACTATGGCAATGGATTGTCGCGAACAAGCCAGTACGGTTCAGGGGAGTTTCTCGATTGGGAGAGATGTGGTGAATCGCAATGCGCCCTAAACTCCTTCAATACTTCAGATTCCGTTTCTGGTCCCTGTTCGCTCGGACGATTCTCCTCATACCACGTCGAAGCCAGATCTGGAAGCGATATTAGTATAACACTGGATTTCGTTCGCAAACACGGTATTCGAGTTTCGATCAAAAACACCGGACATGACTACTTTGGTCGATCCACTACTCCCAACTCTCTTGCCATCTGGACACACAACATGAAAGATACCAAATTCCACAAGACTTTTCAGCCTCAAGGATGCAATACTCGCTACGAAAACATTGGCGAGATTGGTGCTGGCGTGCAGGCCCAAGAATCATGGGAAGCTTTCGAGCCGCATGGCATGCTCGTCACCGTAGGTGCCTCGGCATCTGTTGGCATCGCTGGAGGCTATGGCCAAGCAGGCGGCCACGGACCGCTGGGACCCAAGTATGGGCTCATGGTTGACCAGGCTGTCGAATTCGACGTCATTACTGCTGATGGTAAACAACATACCATCAACGAATGCAATGATCCAGACCTCTTCTGGGCCATGCGTGGAGGCGGAGGCGGAACCTATGCAGTGCTCACATCATACAAGTTCCAGCTCCACCCAGCTGTTCCTATCAACGTATACTACTTCCATGCCAACTTCCCAGCACCGAAGAGCATCTCCGAGTCGAAGATTCACCAAGATATTCTGACTGCACTTGCCTCAAACCAAGCCCTCTTTGGCAAACATGGTATTGCCGGATATAACTTCGTGCTACCCGACCACGTAATATTCGTGCAAGTTATGCCATCCAACGACACTGAAGCGATCAAGAATATCACTTCCGAGTGGCGCAACCTTCTCACAAAAATCCCTGGTATCGAAATCACTGCCGATGACTACTACTCGTTCGAAAAGTTCTCCCAGTGGTACGACTTCACTGAGCGACCCGAGCTCGCGCGCAATGGAGCTGTCGGTTTGGGATTTAAAGGCGTAGGTCGCTTTATTCCACGCACACTCTTTGAATCTGAGCAAAGCATTGAGAAACTAGTGGAAGCCGTCATGGCTTCAATGCAGTACTCGTACGCCAGACACGGCTCAGGAGGCGTGCAGCTGTACGCTACGGGGCCTGACAACTTCCCGGACAATGGCAAAACGAGTGTTAATCCCATCTGGCGAGATTCTCTCTGGGAAATCGTCATGGGTCATTTCTGGACCACCGCCACACCGCCGGATACCCTGTCGCCAATCCAGGACATAGTCACGGCCATGGTTGAGCCGCTCAAGGCGTTGACGCCCGGCGGTGGATGCTACCTGAATGAGGGTGACTGGGCTGAGAAGAATTGGCAGGAGACGTTCTTCGGTGTGCAATATGAGAAGCTGCTTGCTGTGAAGAAGCGGTACGATCCAACCGGCCTGTTCAATTGCTGGAAGTGCGTGGGTTGGACAGGATATGACGAGTAAGTGTCGCAACCCCAATGCTGCAAACAAAAGCTAACTTGTGATAGCCCGATGTACTCATGCTATTCTCAGTCCCGACATGCACCACTGCCATCTATACCGCTGGGCCCTCTCAACGGGTAATCATAGGGCTCTGGTTAGCCTTTCTTCTTTACTCTTTTGTTTCGCTGTTCCTCATGACTGGAATTTATCATGAATGTACTATAGCATCTCTTGGTCGTTTCTTTGCGCCCAATTCCATTATTACACTTTCTCTATTCAATCTTCCTGTCTTGCACTCGCAGTCAATGCATCTCTTTTGCGGTTTTGAACACTCCGAATGCGGAGACAGTCACATGTGACATAATCCTCTCAATGTTAGCTCAAAGTTCAACATCGCAGTCCAGTGTTCACCACGACAGCTTCATACTTCACTTGAAGCACAGTAAAGGTTCCATGCTGTCCCCCACCGTTTGATCTCATCCAATCCTTCTTCAATTACTAGCCTCCCATTGGCCGGACACCGCGACGTTTGCAAACGGGCCAGCTGCGCGACACCGCCCCAGGATAGTATATAACTGACGCTCACCTCCACTTTCTTGATACACAAGTACAAATCAGTTACCAAGTCTTACACACAACGCACACACACAATCTCTCCTCAAACCACTTAAACACAAATTCAACTACTCGACTCGACTCGAGCTCGCAACAACAAGAACACTCAACAAACACATTCAAAGGCAGGTACCCATGCACTTCCCCGTCTTTGCTATTCTTGCGACACTCCCCCTTCTCACGACTGCTCTCGGACATGGCTACCGCCGTGTCCAGGGCCGCGAAGTCAAAACCGAGGTCGTACTCGTCACCCAGACGGTCTATACAACCATGATCCTCGCTCCAACCCCCGCCATCATTGCCTCAAAGGCACCCGCGCTGAGCATCCTCACGGTCAGCAATCCAACAACCGTTGTGCCCATCCCCTCTCCTTCTGGCACTACACCCGCAAAGCCGGCACCACCGCCCCCAAACCCCTACATCCCGCTGGCCTCCACCCCCAATAACGTCAGCATCGTAAACTCTTGCGAGTATGATGTCTGGGTGTCTTCTGTCGGCGGCCACGAAAGTTGTGGACCAGGCAATACCGACTACCTCGTTCGATCAAAGAGTATATACACCGAGGCCATTCGGGTATGCAACAACGCCGGGGTTTCGCTCAAGGTAGCAAAGACGGTAGCTGGTCTCGCGAAACCGATGCAGTTCGAATATACCGTTGGGGCAGACAAGAAGTCCGTGTCATACGATATCTCGTATCTGGACTGCATGGTCAAGAACGGCACGGAGGTCAAGGACTTTAGTGGGTGTGTTGGGCAGGAGAAGGGGATCCAGGCTGCTGGCGGGAAAAATTGCAAGGAATATCATTGCGTGCCTGGGGTCGAGTGTGCGCAGTTGGCGTATACGGAGCCGGAGTTTGGGGGAAAGGAGAACGCGCCTGTTGGCACTTGTGGAGTTGATGGCGGAGTCGCATTTGAGATTTGTGCGGAGAATAGGAAGTGAGTGGGTGTAACGGAGAAAGAGATAGATAGGATGAAGTCCGACTTGGTATTTGATTTTGTGTTTTGATGGCTTCTGGTTATGGAATAGGGTGTTGAGTTCTTCCGTATAGGCGAAGAGTAGAGAGGGTGGAGGAACGACATTATCATCCCCATCTTCTTTCTCTGAGCGCTGGATAAAATGCCACCAGACTTCTCAATCGACCAAGGTACGGGAGTAACCGTAAGTGCAATGCAAAAATCTGCGTCGAGCCAAAGAGCAGTTTTCCACGCATTCACAGCTTGGCCGCCCTTGGTGTGGGCTTCGTCAACGACTAGAATGCTGGCATGGCCAGCCAGGCACTTGGGAATATATCTCGGGTTCTTTGCGTTCAAGGCGGAGATCATCGACACACCGGCGAGCAACGCGAGGGTATTTATGTAATTCGAATAGCTGTCTGGTAACAGCATGGATCAGTCCAAGATGAAACTTTTCCGGGTGGTGACACAAATATAAAATCTAGTGTACAATTATATAAGGAAAAGGTCCGGAAATGCAGAATGCTATGAAGTCTTTCTTTTCGTACAGTACAAGAGAGATTTAAGTATGTGGTTGGCGAGTTTGTTTACAACAAATGGTTGAACAGGATGCAGCTTGATAGTAGGGAAAACGGCGGTATTGTGCTTTGTTCGATTTCTCAAACGACAGCAAATAGCAATCATATGAAAACAGTAAGCATAGTGCCTGTAGCGATTCAATATGGATTTGGAGAGATGTGTACAGTCACGTGACTAGCAGTCGGTTTGTAGCTTTAGCATCAATTAAGCACTTTCCAACCTAAAACACGAATTCCGTAATCTAGTGCGAGAACTTGCCGTTGTCATACCAACCTTGCAACATCCTTTTCTCTCGTGCGGTCAAGAAGTATCGTTGTCATGACTGCCGGTTCTTAGTTAGCGTGGTAATTCATCGAACCCTAGCGTACTCGTGTCCTCACTCGTACTAAAGCACTCCGACCAGACTCTACCGTATTAGCTATTCCACACTTCTCGGCAAGCTGTCCAGCCTGTTGGTGTTTAGAGAAACAAAGACTGAACTCTGTATGACGCAAGAATACTAGTTATCGATAAGACGAGTACCGAGCTAAACGCGTCCTACCGCTTCTGTCGTTCACGCCCGCGTTTGGAGCAAAGAAGCCGAACGCGCCGTTTGCATCAGCCTTTTGCAGCATGCGGCGCACCCCGCATATTAGCCAACATGTCTGTGCCAGAGTCTGAAATACTAACGCCGCTGGACGCCTCAAACACCAATTCAGATGACTGGGAGATTTTCGTTCTCAAGGATGCGCACATCACATATGAGAGCAATGGAGAGCCTGCCAGCCTGCTCGCCGCGTATGCGGATACCCCGCTCAAGGTCGAGGGGCACCTGAAGATGCCTGGGCGCAGCCAGCTAAAGTATCGTACGTAGATTTGGGCGCTATAAAAAGCACATCAAAGGGATAGCATAGTCAATTGACACGGCCGCAGTCCTCAAGAAGCCATACAACCCCACCGACATCGAGATACGGAACGTGACACGCTTCTCGTATGGCGAGATGACAGATGGCGCATACGTTATATGGGCCCAGGGAAAGGCAGGCTGGTTCGAAATCCAGCCTGCGCCCCAGTATAAGCCCATTTATGATGAGATGATTCAGGCTGTCGAGCTGTTGTACTTTGTGACGGATATTCACAGTGAAGTGCGGAAGAAGAGCGGAGGGCCCAGTGCTGAGCTCATTTTCCAGGAAGTAAGCGCAATACGGATATCTGCAGCTAGCTTCAAAAGCCTGCGCTGATTGAGCAGCATTATGAGATATACAGGCTGACTCGTGTAGTACGCAGAAGACAGACGCTTTTCTTGTAACGACATAGCCATGGCAGAGGAGATCTTCGACAAGCATCACATGTTCCTGATGATGTGCTTCTTAAACAGAGCACAGGGCTTAAGCTGGAGTAGTACTCCTATATACCAGCGCTTTAGAAGAAGATTTCCGGTAAGTGGCATTACGGCCAACCTTGAACTCAATCTGATCTGCGAATAGAAAGACTTTGACGACTGCAAAGCACGCATTGAGGGGCGCTATTCCCAAATCCAAGCCAAACAGTCACCAACAAAGTCAAAATCAAGATCTACGCCATCTCTCACTTCAAAGCAAGCAGCTACACCTGGAACGTCACGGCATACTCGGAGGAAGTCTGCGGGGTCAAAAACACCGGACGTGCCGAAGAAGGATGATAATTGGTGGGAAGCCGCGGCACTTTTTGAATTTATGCAGAAAGCAGTGAACCAACGAGTTGTGCGCCCGGGAAGAAATCAAATAACTTTGGATCGGGTTGCAGAGCTGGTTGTTAGGCGTTATGAGATTGAAGAAGTAGAGACTGCAAAAACGGTCTTACTAGTGCATGCGCAGAACCTCTGCTACATGATGGACCACCCACGCCGAAAAACGGTGCAATTCTTCGCAGACGAGCCGATATATCAGGAGCTAGCAGCTGGGCATAATTTATCCGCAACCGAACAGAGACGAGCAGAAGACGTCGAGCTCAAGCCACGAAAAGATCACGCAAGACTAAGAGATGGACAGAGCGATTCGTCAGATACGTCCGACGAAGAAGATGAAGACGATGAACTACGAACGCCCGTTCGACGTTCACCAGGTAGACGGAAGAAAGGCCGGCTGTCAGTTCTGCGACCAAAGACCGGCAACTTCTCCGGTAAGAGTAAGCGTGTGATCATCAAGCCAGGTAAACAAATAGCCGGCAAGGGCAAAGCACCCGTAGCTGCCAGTGACGCCTCATCGGAATCGCAAAGCGAGAATGAAGGAAATAGCAGTTCAGACCTAGACATGGCCAATACGCCAACCCAAGCCCTGTCGCCAAGTGGCGAGAAGAGAAAACTAGACGACACAGACACCGAACACGAGGCAAAAGATACTAGAAGAAAAAGAAGAAACAGCACCTCTTCCTCACCACCCACAGCAAACGATTCCGACTCCAGCGACGTAGACGCAGACGTAGACGCAGACGCAGACGCAGAAACCAACGCCTCTCTACCCCTTCCCCTCCGACACCTCCCCGCATCAGCATCAAGCGACAACAAACCCATCGTCTCCCCTCAAATCGTCTCCACCCCACTCCCCACCTACGAAGCCAACGGCCCCCGCGACTCCTGGCTCTGCAGCTTCGACGGCTGCACCCAGCGCATCTACGGCTGCAGCAAAGAACTCGGTCGCCAACTCATCACCGAGCACCTCGAAGACCACAGTCGCGGGCGCGACAAAGTCGTGGGGATTCTCTGGCGAGAACAGAATAAATTGCATTTACCTGTAAAGTAAGTTTTCCCCCAAATATGCAAGGAGGGGTGAAGTTGGGCTTTTCTTTTGTGGGATGAAGAAGCTAATGAATGGGACTATAGTAATTTGATTAAGAAGATTAGAGAGATGAGTGAGGCTAGTACGCCGTTGTTTCCCACTCAGGAAGGGAGTGTCAAGGGAGAGAAAATTAGGCCGATTGAACGGCCTGTTTAAAGGGCGATATGGAGGATTAGCGTAAGGAAAAGATATGGGAGGGTTGGATACGCCTTGTTCTTCTCTGGGTTTATGAATAAGCATTTTTGTCATTCTTCCCTTTCTTTTTTGCTCCGAGATTTCTCGTTTTCTTCCTCTTTGAAAACCATCTTCCTCTTCGTCCCTGCTCCTTCGCTGCTTTCTATGCTTGGTTGTACATCTTTTAGGCCCGGTTCACATGCTTCCAGTATCGCACTTGCGTCTTCGTATACTTTCCCAGTATCTGGATCAACACGCCATTTTGGATGTGGAAAAGGGAGTGCATGGAGTGGAGTTCTGACATCGCTTTCTTCGTATCGGGTGTTGAGTGCGAGAAGAGGACCACACGATTTAGGATGGGTTTGCGCATCATGGTGGTGGTGGTGTTGTTGTGACGGGACTGAGACTGTGGACGATGAGGCCGAGGCCGAGGAAGCGCTGGGTTCTGGGGAGGGCATGATAGATGCGTCTGCGTATTTTGTCGTCATGATGGTTGTGTAAATTGGCTTGTTGTTACTGACGCAAAGTTTGTTGTGGAGAATAAGGATGAGGGCGTAGCGTCTGAGGAAATGGACGTCGCACACGAGGATGATACTGTATAGCGAACAAGAGATTAAGGAACATGCGGACTCGGGGGGTTTTCTTTACTAAATGTTCAAATGTGAATTGTGGCGTTTTCTTTGTTCACCCGGAATTAGGTTTCAAAGGGATGAGGACGTCACTGATGAGGACTGCTTCCAGCATATACATGAATATCTGAGAACCCGTAAGATGATGAAGCTTCTTATTCGTAAATAGCCAATTACTTTTATACGCTAATCGTCTTGAAAACGTTGAATCCTGATCCGCCCGTAGCCATGATAGCGCCCGGAATCTGTGGGTGCCAGTGTGCCTCCTTGATTTGCTCCATGTAGTGCACAAAGAGCAGTTGTGGCGGCACGTCTTGCACGCCTGCTGTGTATTTGCTCTCCTCATCATCAAGTTCGACAGCGAGATCCCACAATGTGAGCGTGTTATCGCCGGCGCAAACAAGCACGATACTGTCGTCTGTAGGGTGCCACTCGACAGAGGTGATTTGCTCTTTGTGGAATGTGTAAGATGCGACGGGCGAAGGCTTCTTGTCGCTGGACATGTCGGTGGACGGCTTCCATTGTCGCAAGTCCCAGACTGCCCACTCGCCATCGTCGGCACCAGAAGCAAGAAGATGGGCGGTCTGATGCGACCAGCTGAGTACGTTGACATCAGTCTTGGAGGCCTGGACACTGAGTACTGGTTTCCGTGATTTAACTCGAGTATCCCAGATCTTGACTGTACCATCGCTTGACGCTGAAGAAAACACAGTCTTCTCAGTCGGAGACCATTGCAGCTCCTCGACTGAGCCTTGATGGCCGGTATAAGGTGTGGTGTCAGTCACAAAGCCTCCACCTTGCGTCCTGGT